TCTAATTATCGAGAGATTTTCAAGGGAAACAGACTTTCCTTCGAATTAACGAGGTTTTCGAATTATCGAGAGTCCACTGTAAGTCGACTGTGAATACATTTCATCTGCCGTAAAGATTGTAAGAAAGTCCACAATCGTAACATCATTGTAAGCCTCTTACGCCTTTTAACCGAAGAAGTCAGCAATTTTCTTCAGACGAACCAGAATTGAAGTATTCCGGAAACCATTAGTCGACTGCCATTTGTAACGGAGCCTGACCATGACCATGACACCGGGTGGCCAAAAATTGACACGCTTCTATCACTGCGAACTGCAGGCGCCAATCACACATACCACCTTTCCATGGCCCAATTTCGCAGTATTCTTTGAGCGTGCTACATATGTATTTGTTTCTCACATTCGATTCTGAATAAAGGTCACCGCGCTATCGCTAACCGATATCGAGTCAATCGTGCTTCATTCAGAATATCCACTTGGCCGAGCAGCCAATTAGTCCCCTTTTACTCGGATACTTGAGGGTTAGGCTCGTGGTTTTCGGTTCGACCGAGCAACCCTGAAATTATTATCTAACGGCTCAACTCATGACGTTCTGAATTTCTCAGGAAGCTAGGTCAACGATACTTATTTATCACGGCGTGAGTCGAGCTCGTCTCCGTTTTTTTTCCTTACATCCGACATTTTTTCCTGTTTATGATTCCCAACGTGGTTTATTCCCAATGAGTGTTGAGCTGTATATTTCTCCGAGAAATTTATTGCGCCTTTATTTTAATCTGTGGGAAAAAAGTGAAATCGGGATCGCGATTTTTCAAGTTGGCAACGCTGGTTTTCCTCCAATTAAAGTCACTCAGAATATCGATTTTAGGTGAGGCAACACCGAAAATAAAGAATCGCAATCTGAGCTGTACTCCTGGCTGATTTTTGCGCCTAATCCAACTAAAAGAGCAGTCACGCCGGAAACAGATGGTGGATCCAACCACACTCTCGGCTGACTCAACCGTATAACTCTCGCTGAAGCAACTATTATAAACGACCCCAAAATGAGCCAGTAGTATACTTGGGATTGTGACTCATTTTTTAGTGCAGCTGCCTCCCTAAGAATCGATAATTTTACACGTATTTAATCGGAGGAAAAAAGGGTTTTAACAATGCTCACGAATGACCACTGTACTGATCGCTTCCGTACTCAAGGTAGAAAACTTCCATCACAAGGACTCAACTTTGGCTCTTATTGAACACTGAAATTTTTCTCTTCGGTTAATCGAAGTTCGCGGCCGTAGGAATCGAATTTCGGTTCCTCAAATTTGGTTTTTCATACAACCGATGAACCGTCGAATTAAGCGAAAAAAAGATAGAATCGCCTCTGCACTGAGAATGAAAGTTGGGTCACGAAGACTGAACCTCGAGTTTTATTGAGCACCGATGTTTTCCAGTTCAGATGAGCGGAGTTTTTGGTTACAGGAATCGAATTTCGTTATATCGGAGCGTTAAAATGTTGGTTTTCAATATAAACCAAACAATATTTTTCCGTGTCGTAGCACAAAACCATACATGCGATTATTAACCAACTTACTTACCTAATACTTAATATCTTTGCAAAATAAATAAGAGAGTGGCAAAGGTACTCATGACAAAGACGCCTTATTGAATTCTTAATGATAATTTTTGGCAGATTGACAGCAAGGTCAGTTTAAAGAATGATTCTGAAAGTTGACTAAAAAACATGTTTTTTTATCCAGGACCATACTTTTCTCAATCCCTTATTTTCCCTCCGCTGGGGCCGTTAGATCCTTTTTATCCTTTTATCCGTTGAATTTTTCTCATCTAGTTCTTGCGGAAACTTTGCTAATTTCAATCTTTTTTAGGGTATTAATTGAAACTATTAGAGGTTTAATTCGGCCTTGATCTTTAAGAATTCGGCTGATATCCAATATAATTTCTGGCCATTTATTGATAATTCTTTTGGGAGACTGTGGTTTCTGCGTACTCATAATCCAGTTATGTTATTCCTCTTCGAATTCCTTGTCGGTTTAATTCAAGCTTTTGTTTTTTCTGTTTTATTAACCCTTTACTCTACAGGAATTTAATTCACTTCTCGCGGTGATTTCGTTATTTTATCTCGTGATTGTAATGAGGTTTTTTCTTTTTCATTCGTCATGAGGCTCCCATTTCTCCTCTAATCACTACGTAAGAAAGTGGCCTTCTTCATACCAACATAGATAATCACTAATAGCCCCTAAAGTCCTCATTTACATACCAAAAAAATCGTTACATCACAGAAAAATGCATGGGCCGATCGCTCGGTTTTCTATGTCGATTGAGTTCATACAAGAATTTCAGCTCGTTGAGGTGAACTTCGATACGCGTTATGAATCCTCTCTCTTTTAGTTCGGTGGAATTTGAGAACTTTATCCCATGAACCAAAAGTTCGACTCAAACGATACAATTTTTTCCTCGGTGGGAACGTAAATTCGGTGGTATATGTCCACGGGGGTGCCCTGCGGGCTGATCATTGAAATTGATAGACAAAGTTATAGAAAAAGAAGACTTTGGGGATACGGAGCGTTCCTATTTGTTGTATACATGAGTGATTCCCTTTGACCATAAGAGAGAAAATGATGTATCAAATGTGGGGTATTTCGTGGGCTGCCGTTAGTTAGTCTATTACCCACCTCTTTCGTCCATCGCAGCCACTATGCTTCCACCAACGGGATCACTCCATACCTCCACCAACGGGATCACTCCATACCTCCACCAACGGGATCACTCCATACCTATTTTGGCTTCCTTGTCTACGGCTGTGTCTATCAATGTCAATAATCGACCCGCATCTCTTCGTGAAACTCAATATTTTTCGGGGCTTACGTGGAAATATAAATACGGTCTTACATCAGAAGATCGTCGAAATGGAGGAAGAGATTTCACCAACTCGCGAGATTCACCACTGCGGGCTGATTATTGAAATCGATAGACAAAGAAGACCAAAGGGAAATGAAGCAATCCTATCGGTGGAAGCGGGTGGTTGCAATGGACAAAGGGGGTAAGTAATCGATGAACTGACGATGGCAACCCACGAGGGACCCTGCTGTTTGTCAGTCATTTTCTCTCCTGGTCTTTAGGAACCATCGACTTAAACTAATAAGATCGCTCCATACTCTCTATGTCTTCTTTGTCGATCAATTTCAATAATCAGCCCGCAGATTTGCATAAATTCAACGATCTTGTCAGCAATGTTATTATTTCCTCCGTGATGATATCATCTATGATGCATGTGTAGCGATCACTGCAGTTTCATCCAGCATAGGTTGGAAAAAGATTGCGCACGTTTTCATTATTGATAAATATTGATCACACACTATGTCGTTGCCATCTGGCTATACTTGAGAGGAATGAGACTAAAGGCTCCTTCCGCTATTATGACAAGTGTTTTTAATAGGGTTCAAGAGAAGGACCTCCTACAGGTCTTTAGACACTGAAAAAAATATATCCGTGTATTTACTAAGAAAAGGGTAAAATTACCAAGAATTCAGGGTTTTATTTGATCCCAGTTTTTTCTTGGTAAAATTACCATTTATGGAATTGGTAATTTTACCGAGAAATCTTGGTAAAATTATTGCAATTTCTCGGTAATTTTACTGGACCTTGGTAAAAACGCCGATACTTTTTATCGACTGTGGTAGAATTACCGAGAAAAAATGGCAAAGTTACCGGGAATTGATTACCAATAAAAGTGGTATTCTTACCTGAAAAAACAGTAAAAATACCGGTTTTTAGGTAAGCTTACCAGTCTGTCGTGGTAAAATTACCAATAATTGGTAAAAAAGTGAGATGGTAAGGGCACCAACGGACCTTGGTAAAAAACGCCGAGAATTTTTTTTCAGTGGAGCACATTTCAACAACGTAATTTTCGGAATTTTGGAAAATATCCGTGATTTTCAGATAGTCGTTTTCAACGGTGACACCCGACACATGTCTGTAATATATGTAGTGGTTCGATAATGTGCATCAGCCATGGCCAGAAAAATCCACAAAAAAATTTCAATTTCCCTGGCAGGCCACTAATCGATTATGCAGACAAGAACTAAATACTTGGGCACGTTCACGAAATCACTTGGTTTTATTATGGCATTTACGTCGTTTCGGCGGTACTGTCAATATGAAGTTGGTTCCTCTCTCTTAAAATCACGTGGTTTTATGATGGCATGTACGTCGTTTTTGCGGTACTCTATGAAGTTGGTTCCTTTTTCCGAAAATCACGTGGTTTTATGATGGCGTCTACGTCGTTTTGGTGGTACTGTCAATGAAGTTGGTTCCTCTCTCCTAAACTCTGTCGGAACAATAGCGTGTTAATGCGGTTAAGGTCATTCGTCATTTTTACGCGAGAATCATCCCCGTCGATTTGATCGTATTAACTCGATGTTGGGTTAGATTTTATTTCTGCTTCTCTCTACAGAATGGTGTCATAGTCGGGGAAAAATTGAGTTTGCGTTAAATCCAAGTTTAAACCTATTGCATCTTACTGTCGTTTTTTCGGAACCTCAGCTATATTTTTTTCCGTCCGACTAATTTAAGCATGATGTTCAATACGTTTGGGGTATTCAGCACGAAAACAATGACGTATGTCCTAAAACGAACCAAATTTAGCGGATCTACTTGAAAATGATTGTCGACTTACTTAAAATTTGCTTGATCTCGAGTTTTTTGGTTATTTTTTAAAAATAAAATATTCCATCATAAGTACGGTCTTTTAGGCTAAGAAGCTTTTTCTTCTTTAAAGTATGATTACTCATCCCTCATTGCATCAAAATTCACCAGTATTTTTCAGTTTATATCAGTGAAAGAATTCCAATTATGAACAGGGACTGCTCTGCCTGCAATATGCAAGTTTCATCCAGCCAAAATCCAGATGTTCTGTGGCTGCCGCGACGCAACTAATAAATCGTCATTTTGTTGAAAAATTGCTCTGCGTTCGAATATCCTCACCAGGAATTGTATTTTTTCAGAAGCAGCCAACGAGACCAAACAATGTGATATCAACCAAGTAAGAATCAGCCCCTGCGTAGAAGCCAAAGATGGAAAACCGTGTAAAATGTACCGAAATACGACAGGATCCATAGAATTTGATTTCACTCCCTGTAAGTCACAATCTCATTTTTAACTCACTGCACATTTTTTCAGCCGGGGCTGAGTTTTCAATCAGCACCAAGTAATTGAACTTCCTGTGAGCTAATCGTGATCTGCACGTGCCTCTATTCATCATAGTTAACTAATAATAGAGTGCACATAGAGTCATCGTTTGTATGGTTTACTTCTCTACAGAGATTGACATTCTTTATTGACGGAATTAGGATTTTTCGGAATCGGCTGGCGTCTAATGTCTACGATTTTTTATTTCATTTAATAGGATTCAAATTGTATACCGTGAAAATTCCAGGCGTGAATAAAGGGCGAGGGAGTAGAATGATTGAGGTACTCGATAGCACAACAACCGGGGCGGCCTAGCGCCGTGCTGAATAGTGTGGTTGGAATCTTTCAGGTGCGAAGGCATACGTTTGAATGGGGATCTTTCATGTGCTCCTTAAAACACTAATTAAAACTACGAGCAATGCTTTGAGCAGCTCAGTCATTACAGGTTATAGCGTAACGATATTTCCTTAATCCGTGGGCACACTGAGGAAAGGAGCTGTCGAAGAAGAGAGTATAACGAGAGAGATTCTCTGTCGCTAAAAACAATACTTCAGAACAACACTAGCTTGAAAACTTATTCTCAAGTTCCTGCGGTTAAAATCTGATTCATGCTGTGTTTTAGATTTTAAAACGTCCTATAAACCCATACAAATTTTCATTGAATGGGCATCGATGGTAAAGGAGAACGAAAGCGCGTCAAAAATGGTCTTCTTGTTGTTTTGAATTTAGGTCCAGGGCTCTTGACCCTCTATCTACGTGTGTAGAGTCTTCTTTTTATTTATGTAATGTGTAAGTTTCGTGCAAACCATGCATAATGGGGCATATCTCGAGTTAAGGAGCTTTCAAAGGAACGACTAAACATTACGCATTTTGAAGCCGGAAAAGAAGTTACAACATAAATTAGCTTGAAAAATGTCTACCCGCGGTAAAAATCTGATTCATTGAAAACTATCAAATGGCTCCGCGTTACACTTAGTGAAGTATATTTAGTATGGTAATGCGTAAATATTGTCAAAATCATACACATAGGGTAAAGACCCAAGAAAGAAACTTTGTAAGGAACGACCAAAGCCTTCAGTATTTGACACCATCAAAGATGCAGAAAGGAAATTATGAAGAAAAGTGTATTAATACGTTTTTGCGGTTAAAATGAGGCAGATATTAATTGAATGGGTCCATTTTAGATTTCTCCGGAGAGCAAATCGGCGCAAGAGTGTATTGGGCGAGTCTTCTGGACATCCCTTTCCTGGACATGAACTCGGACGGATGCTTGTACACCACGTGCCCGATGGAAGCTGGCAAGAACTATACTCTGAAATACGGACTCCTCATCCGTGAATCATATCCTCCTGTAAGTCAAATCTCCATATAAGGGATGCGAAATGAAGCGGCATTTTTTTTTAGTAACTCGTCAACGGGTTCAAGAGAATAGGATGGGCCGAAACCAAACCCGAACATTAAAGACTGGAAAAATATGACTTTTGTTTCAAATTGCTTCCCTTTCAGTTCGCTGAATTTTGTGTTTTAGCCTAAGGTTCAAAACACGACAGCCTTTAAATTCTTCGCTAACCACACTACAATTTTATTTTATTTTTTTATGTTTTATACATTCGTTGAATATTACTTTGAATATAGTATTTTTTATGCCATGGTAAGCCAGCATACGGGTTCGGCCGTCGTATGCTTTTTAGGTGTTTTACTGGATGTTGTGGCTATTTCTTTCATATCGCCAAAATACGCCCGACCTATAAAAATTACCAGACGAATGAGAACACCCTATAAAACAGTGAGAAACAAGGCTAAAATTACAAAATTTCACTTTTACCTTCTATGTTGGTAAGTATTCTAGGCATAAATCTAGAAAATTTCTGGTATGGTGAATTTATAGTGCTAACAATTGGTCTCAAAGGCTGGTCCTCTTTATGCTGTTAAATGAGACCATGCTTTTTTGCTGCCTGTGCGCTACCCTGGAACAGCTGTTTGTAGACTTCTGACGTGTAACCTCACGGGAAAATCGCGCTCGTTTCCAACACAAAATTCTATGCACGTTCCATGGCGCTCAGTTTGTGACGCTTTGCGCTAAAAGTTTGAACGCCTTCAGATATTTGAGTGTGCTACTCCGGCCTCTCTACTGCAGGAATAGTTGCATCACTGCAGGCGCTGGCACCAGCATTGTGATCGAAACGCACTAACTTCCTAAGATCTGTGAAACCTTTTTTGTTATCATGTGTTAAAATGTTTACCTCTCAAACCGGCTGGCGTTAATCCTGTTGGGATGAAAGTCCCTCTTATTCTACCACCTCTGACTACTTTCCGAAATTACTTCTCTTGTTACCACAGTAACAAGCAGCTGATCGGTTGGCACCTCAATATTGTCTATTCTAATCCTAGCAATATGATTCTGTTGCAGGGTAACTACCCAATCAAGTGGAAGGTTTGGAACGAGAAGAATGATGAATGTTGTTTTATGTATGCCGTTAAACTTAAGTAAATATTTATTTTCGCAAACAAAAATAAAACCACAAAAATGATCGTTGGTTTTTTCATTGATCCTTCTGTTTTCACCAAGCCGATCAGGAATGACTCGAGACTTTCGTGCGGCTTTTCTCGCTTCTGGAATGTCAATTGGACGTATTTATGCTAAAAGGAACTACGTGCAAGTGGAAAGATGGGGTCTACTCGTGGAACTATGTGCAAGTGGAAAGATGGGGTCTGCTCGTGGAACTACGTGCAAGTGGAAAGATGGGGTCTGCTCGTGGAAGCTGCATAAGAAACAGTGTAAAAGTGGATGTAATTCCTTTTGAGAAACTGGAAAAGCGGAATTTTACATCGAATCAAAAGGAAATGACCGCTAACTCGTGAGCCTTGGACATGTGACAAGAGCCTTGTGGACAGGGTTCATGAGTTAATGAGTCCCGCCACCGATTTCCCCGTCTTGCCCGGTCTCGGTCATTGCCGGTGACGTCACTGGCGCTTTTAAAGTCCAATTCATTCTCATGGCCCTCAACTAACGAGCACACCCTATCTTTCCACTTGCTCACAGTTCCATTTAGCATAAATACTTCCAATTTAAGGGGGCATAGGTGAGTTTCCCATACATTAATACTTTAAACAAATCAGGTAGTTGTTACTGTATGTACCATCATCATTAATATAAACTTCGAAGGATTCAGACTTTCAGCGATTCTACCTTTTTCTATTTCACTCGAGAGGTTGCCAGATTGTGCGATGAATGTGAATATTTTACATGGATTTGAATTGGGAATAGTGCTAAAAAAGCAACTTATCTGGCAACAATAGAGTCCGGGAGGGACGAGAGGCTGCCTTCCTGGGAAAACCCATGATTTAGCCGGAAATGTCATTAAAACAATTCATTACGTTTGAAGCATCAATTGTATACTAAAGGAAAGCTATTTTAAAATAATAATTGTACATGGACACAGATGCTCCAGAAAGGGATAAAGGAAAGGGTAAGGAAATGAAATGAGGATATGATTACTAATATGCAATCAGAGAGAATAAAACAAAAACATTAGAGAAATCTATATGCGATGAAAATATAAGAAAAAAACACGATTGGGCTCATTGCGATTCGGAACTCGAACTATACTATCGTTGAGCAGTTTTTAGACCCCTACGCCACCGATAATCTTCTTAAGAGGTGAAGATGAACTTTTGCTACTTCAGCGAGTCAAATCGCGGAAGGAGATCCATGGATTCTCTTTTTCCGCCACCCGATGGAATGAAGTCCCAGTCAAATGCGTTTTTGAAGAAATGATCGATCCCCATCATCGCTTCATCTCCGCACATCTATTCATGTGCAAATGATGACACGCTCCGGCAACAAGGTTCTATGACGAAATCATTTTTGCCTTCAGAGTCTCCAAAATGTATACATCTTAGTGATCAAACGTCCAATCACTGCGAGTGATCAAGGGTCCAGGGGGCGCAGCCCCTTGGCTGGCCGTGACGGCCGCGCGAAGCGCGTCCAGAACGGCTAGTATTTTATAACATCCCTTTATTAATAATCATTCCACACGATTCACAATTTCCATGTATCGTCACCTTCTGGCCAAAGTATCATAAGCGCCATGCAACGTTTACAATTTTCCGCCGTCATTTTATTTTTTTTACAGAGAAATTGTTGGTTGAATCTTTTTGAAAATTTCACCGAATTTTATCGGCAACACAAAGAAAATTTAGTGAAATTTTCGGACGGCTTCGTTGAACAATTTGCCTGTAAAAAAATATAATGGCGGCGGAAAGTTTTAAACGTCGCATGGCGCTTGTGATACTTCGGCCGGGAGGTGACGATATCAGATTAGCTATTTGAATTAATCCTCGCGTTTCATGACGGCGCACAGTGGATCGAGTCAATCGGAGAGGTCTGTAACATCAGGATTATCCTCATACTTCTTGAGGAAATATTCCTTGAGCACAGTAAATGAACTTTCATCTTAAGCATTCATTATAGCGTTTAGCTCAGAAAACATATCATTGAATAAATCCGTTGGTACTGGATCTCAGGTGCTCCATCCAACTTTTGATCACATGCCATTTGCATAGGAGGGGAGTGAATGACTAAGAAATTCCGATGGTCACAGCATTGATGAGAGCTGGTGGGTCATCATCTAATTACTGAATTAAAGGTTGTTATTTTTCTCTCCGGACTCATCTGTTTTGCAAAGTTTTGAAAAAAATTGTGGAGTGATAGCTTCCGATTTATAACGAATCAGATGAGTGACCGGCCATCCACGCTGGTTTCCATCGACCACCATCACAGTCAGAAGCTGATATTTATAGAAAAATAAATATATGTAAAATAAAATATTAAGAAAAGGGAAGTATGCAACAAGAAAAAAATAATTAAATATATACATAATGATGTAAGAATACTGCTGTACCTCAAAGAGCTCTACTGATTACCCTGGGATTTAATGGCAGCATCCACTTTTTGGATGAGGAGGTCTTTTCCAAGGCCGATTAGATTCACGCCATCGTCCTTGTAGTCTTCTGGTTGAAGCCACGTATTTGTGATAAAAGACACATTTTTATTTTTTCTCAGAAGGTTTAAAAAGTTTCCATTAATTTAATGGATTTGTGAGTTAATTGTATCCCCGCCCTGGCGTCCGACTCTTTTCGGGAATGCAATGCAAATAATCTTTTTCGAGCATTTAATAAGTCCACGCACATTAATATTATTAAACGCTTCCTTTATTTGCTCAAGGTTAAAAATTTTGGTGGACAATGACCAGATGTCATTTGTCCCTCCCATAGTAATGAGAATATCATTACTTTAGGAGCTGCCTTTTTTTACAACCTCATTGTATACGGCGCTTAGCTTCAAAAGATTGTCCACGGACTAACCAAGATTTATCAATCGTTTGGCCAAGCTCTTGTCGTGGCTATCAGTTCGTAAAAACACTCGAAACATTGTTCTGAAAGAATTTAAATCAAGGGAAAAAATAAAAGTTCAAATAAAAACTTTGATTGAAAATAAATTGAAAATGGGTAAAGAAAAACCAAAACTTGTAGTTATTAAGCTAAATACTAACGGAGTTCAGGAATAACGTGCAAGCTACACAGAAGCACTTCGATGACTCCTCTGAGGCCGACAAGGGACGAGCTTCCATTGGAACATTGGAAAATACGCGAGCCTCTCTCAATTTTAGCTCTGCATTTTTTCTTCAGTTTAGTTATGCTTTTAGCTTTATTGAAATCAATTTTACAAAACTTGCAGCTCACAACTTAGCAACCACCACTTGAATTACATACCTTAGCATGCCGTTTTTGATTGTACGCTGTTTTGAAAGACTTCTTACACTGTAAACATGCAGGAACCTTTTTCAGGGTTTGAGCTGCAGTTTGATTCATGACGCGTGCAACTTTCTTCTGTGAGAAAACAAAAGCCTGCATCAGCTTCAGATTCTCAACTGATTTTGTGACAGTTGAGTACTTCCTTCATTATTGATTCCAACATTATTCTTAGTGCCAGAATTCTTCGTTTCAACGTTAGTTGGAAGTTTTTTTTCAACTGAAGTCTGATTAATATGTTGGTCAACAAGCGGGACTTCATATTTTTTTGTTTCTTCAGGTTCCATTGCAGCAATTCCGAGTTTTGATATTTTGTTGTTCTATTGACAAGGTGCTGCTTCGGCCTTTTGATTCCGCTTTTCAAATTCACTGGTGGGACCGCAGTCAGGTCCTGTTTCAGAACCACTGCTTGATTCTTCCGCGACACGGAACACGTCTTGTGCCGACTGGGAAGCTGTTTTTTACAAGTCCCTCGCGAGCCCTGCCAGAGCATGGGTGCTCTACTTTTTTTCATGCAGAATTCCTTTCTCACAGCACCATGGGATCAGTTCTAAATGACGAATTGCGATTATCTCTTCAATTTTTGGAACCATCGCGTCTTCAAGAAGGGTCAGATTAAGTGGACCGTTGAGGTTTTGCTTAAGAAAGAAATGACCAAGAATTCCGCATACCAAACATTACGACGGTGAAACTACCAAACCACGTATCTCGTTTGCGGTGTTTAAAAATCTCCGATCACATTTTATTTTTTTGAAGTAGACCAAATCAATATCATTCCTTGAAATTTTCACAGAATTTTCTCCGCACGAAGAGGAAAAATCACGGAAATTTTCAAGACTGGACGTTAAGTAGCTTTTCATTTATAAAATAAAGTATGACAGGAAGTCTGCGACGTCGCAAACCGAGATACGTGGTTTGGTAGTTTCACCGTCGATTAACTTTAACGGGGAACCGAGTGCGCTTTTCGCGAAATTCGTGCGGATTTTCCGTCGCTCAACATTGGCAATTATTTCGATTCATCTCAACATTAAAAAAAAATGTGCTTTCGTCACTAGAAAATATTTTTTTAAGATGCCCGGATCAGTACGAATGAGCTCCTCCACTGTTTCGCAAAATTGAAGGCGCCAGTCAGGGTCTTCCTCGCTTATTTATTGTTCTAGTTTTACACTAATAAATAATAATAATATTTATCGAAAAAAAATTTACATTTCCATTGAATTTCTTTCCAACTTAAAAACAATTTTTACTTATTACAAATTATACATATACGTATAGCTTATTGCATATGAAACAATGATAACGTTTGATGAATAGAGTGGCTTGACTGAGCTGTAGAAAGAGTTTAATTTCTTTTTTAGGATGACTGTTAGTTGAAGACCTGAGCTAGAAAAGTTTCACATTCTCAGAGGCTCGACTTACCAATGGCTAACTATGGAATGAGCCGTGGGAAACACAGCCCCAGATTCCAGGAATTAAGGATGCTTGAGTGGAGACGGAGCGGCTAGAAGTGAGCACGAGTGAAAATGTCTATTTTTGAATTTCATAGTGGATGAAGAAGAAGGCAATTTCTTTGTAGATGACGGGTTCTACACCGAAAAAAAGAGTTCGGGGAATAGTTAAGGAATTATACCAAAGTTAGGAGAAAAATTAATAATAAGCTAATTTTTGGTATAGTGAGTCCTCATGACCCCCTGAGTTTCCCCAAAGAAGCCCTCGTC